CAGAGTGCTTCTTGGAAACAAAGGTGACAAAGCTTCGTCTCATTCTTTGGACATGATTCTAGGAGAGGCAATTCCTTGGAGAAGGACATCATGCTTGGAAAGGTGGAGGGTCAGCGAAAGGTAGGAAGACCCTCAGCCAGATAGATTGACACGGTGACTGCAGTAATGGACTCCGGTTTGTCAGAGCTGGTGAAGAAGGCAGAGGGTAGTGAGGATAGGACAGATTTCTCCGGGTTGACTTGATTCGACAGCACCTAAAAACAACAAAACTCCTGCTACCCCCTAGAGGGTCAGCTATGAATCAGTTCCACCTCAAATTGTACATAATAATATTTCTATTATCTAGTCAGAATGTAAGTTTCTCAAGTTTTGGTCTCCTCACTTGTTATATACTGATGCAAAGGAGTTTCTTGGGAGTTTCTAATGAGGTAATGTATGAAAGTGCTTCAAATATGACCAAATTTACACAAATAGATCATTATGTCCCAAAGTCTGTAGAACATCTCACTCTTTTAAGATAATGGTTCTTTCATTCACCTCCTAATTAGAGACATCTAGCACTCCTAACAAGTTGATTGAAAGACCTATTGTGCAGTGGATCTGTTCCAAATGAGTGTTGGTTAATGCTCTCTCTTCTACGTTCTCTTCAGGTTAAGAAAACCATAGCCTGCTGCCTGTCATCCTCAAGTGAATTAGAGATTCAAATGGCTTCTCTCGAGGGCATAATATTTTTACCAAGAGGTGAAATCTGTTTATTGGGAATCCACTTTAAAGTAGCAAATTATAACCCTTCTTTGCCTTAAATCTACATGCAAGGTACCCCATGCATGCTAATGTCTTACAAGGTGTGCTGCCTGCCTTAGCACTAAGTAGTCTCACCTTTAGCACAAATCATGCTACTTGTATTTGCTTTCAAATGGGTCACTCTGTAAGGCTTCAGGTGTCATAAAACAGAAGACTAGCTTTTTTCTTAATTATTTATGTGTTGTTGTTGTTGTTGTTAAGTGCCACAGAGTCACAGGCGACTCATAACGACCCTATGAAGGAGAGTCCTCGACGCTTGGGTGCCTTTCATCTTCTCTCCAGGTTCACAGGGTTTCCGGAGGCAAGCTATTACAGAAGTGGATACCACTCCTCCTTCCAAGATTTATGTGTAGGGTTATTTTTTTTTTTACAATTCATTTCTCTTTTTATGCCTGAAACCTAGTTAGTGCAAAGCCCAGCACTTAGTTCTTGCTCAGTATATATTGTTTAGAAAATGACTCAGTTCCTAGCCAAAAGTTTGGTGGTTCAAAACTACCTCATGGTTCTGAGAGAAAGATCTGTTGATCTACTTACATAATTATTTAAGCTTAGAAATTCTTTGGGGCACTATCACTTTTGTCACTTAAAGTCATTGAGTTGAAATCAACTTGAAGGTATAAATCAGTTAAATCAGTATAAATCAGTTAAAAGGTAATGGTGGTGATGGTCTAGACTCCTTCTTCTTCTGCTCCTTTCTCTTCCCAGTAGAGACTAATTCATGCTAGCAAGCCGCAGCATCCCAAGGACCTTTAGTTCAACTGACAAGACCATAGGAAGTTAGGCCTCTGTGGAGATTTATTTTATCAACTATCAGGGACCAAGGAGTTTCTTATAGATCATGTCATCCAGAAAATCTCTCTCCTCTACTTAAAAAGGAACAATATTTTGGTATTTTGTTCTCATCAAATGCTGCTAAAAGTAAATCACTTGGATTAGTAGCCTACACATAAAACTCTATACCACTAGTTCACCTTTTCCAACTTTAAACTCATGACTTCCTTTCTGTCCAGCCTGCGGCAAGTCACATGCGGAAAGGGATTAATTTCCTACTATACTCTTTATTGTTGTTGTTGTGCCCTTGCCTGAGACTCATAGTGACCCTGTGTACAACAGCTCTGAGGCCTGTGCTATCCTGAGCCAGTCTCGCACCTCCCCCCATTACCCGTTACTGTTTCAGTCCATCTCATCCGTGGGTTTCCTTTCCTGTGCTGTTCTTCCACCATTCCAAGCATAAGGACCTTCTCCAAGGACTGGCCCCTCCTGGTCATGTGCCCAAAATTTGTAAGATAGAGCTTCAGAATTCTAGCCTCCAGGGAGAAAGTTGTTTTCACCCTCTCCAAGACAGACTTAACTTGTTTTCTTGGCATCCATGGTGTTACCTTAATAATGTCAAACTTGTCATCAGGCTGTGTGATTGCTGCCAGTATGTAAAAAGAATGTAAGCAGAATGAGGACAGCTGCGTTTGACCTTCACTAAGCACAAAGGGGAACTGCCCTCATCAACATCTTTAACACAAAACCAATTCCTATGAAGTCAGACATATCCTTACCCCTGGGGGTGGGGGAAGGCATGCTTGTGCACCTCTTTTTACTAATTCTAGCACCAATCCTGTTGTCCTACTGGGTCCAAAATCCATTGCAATAGCTAAGAAGACTTCAGGGAGACATAATTATGGGGTTTATTAGGGAAACTAACGGGTTTTCAGGCTAGCCATAGATTACAATTTTTCAGTCAGGAAAGCTTCCAAAGTGTGCTCCTAGCCTCCACAGCCTTTGGCCTCATGAATTTAGGCCAGGGTTGTGAAGTTTCTTGTAGTTTTTGTTGTTGATTGCTATCAAGTTGAGCACAACTCATAGGAGCAAAAGGCCTGAAGTCTTTCTATAACTATCGTCATTTATCAAAGTTCGTAGAGTTTCCAGAGGCATGTTGTTTAGAAAGTGGATGCCACTCCAACTTTCAAAAATATTAAGGCACCTCTCCCTCTCCCCAAGTCCCCAACAAGCTTGGGCAAAGGCTCTTAGCTCTGAACCTATAGTAGCAGTCACAAGGCCGGCTCTGTCTCACCTTGGGTTTTTTTCTGAAGAGGCTGCTACTGCTGGTCCTGTAGACCCTAATTTGATGGACACAGGCATCTTGGACCCCAAAGGACAAGCTCTCTGCATTCTCTGCTTCTTTTCTGGTAGTGAAATCCCCAAATTCTGCCACTGAATCTGCTCAATTTATGGCAAGACTAGCCAGTCCCCTTGTGGATAGCCTGTCAAGTCAGAACCAACTCACAACTGACCCTCCCACAGGTTTTCAGATGCAGAAAATTGTATGGGAGGAGATTGTCCATCCCTTTCCCTTGGAGAAATTAGTAGATTCAAACCAAGGGCCTTTGGGTCTGCAGTGCAGATTCTAACCCTTAGGCCACCAGACCTCCCTGTGGGTAGATTAACACACCCTGTATTTGTATGATCCTGCCCATCTATGTGTCAAAGTCAGTGGCTAGGAAAACCATTTGAACAGTAAACCCTTGACACCACACAGTACTTTTCATTCAGCCAGCTATATATAAATCAGTTTGGTGGGAGCAGCTTCCTATTCTCTTCAATCTTGTCACCTCTGTTTTCCTTTGAGTCATGTCTGGTATCTAATTCTATGAAAGAGGTACCTTGAGATACATGCTACCTGAAGGAGTGTAAGCAAATGCTACTTTTATTGAATTTTGCATCTTTTTTATTGAAAATTGAGTGACTAAATTTTATATGTAACAACTTACATTTATATACTACCCAGTTTGTCTTTCTTGCCTAATTGAAAAAGGATTTCTGCATACTTTTTAAAAAATTCATTTTTATTTTATATTGGTTTGCATACAAAATTCATATACATGTGTTTCACACATCCCTTCATTTACATTGAGTTTTACATGATCATTCCCATACATTGTGTTTATAAAATTAATCACCATTTATCTATACCTAATGTTACTCTCTTTTCAGATCCCCATTAGATCTTTCCTAATTCCTTCACCCTCCCCGGTCCACCCACCAAACTGTTATCTTATTGATTTTTACTCTCCGTTTTCTTCCTCCTTGCCCCCTCACCTTCCCCTTATAGACTTTATATATATCTTATTAGTTATCCTTCTATTTTTTAATACATTCTTTAACAAAGGATTTTTCCTTTTTTTCATATCCTACAAGGGAATATTCTAAATGTTTTCCACATTATATCACATTTGGAGCACCATAAACTTTTTCTATGATTTCCCCCCTAAATTGAAGGAGGGTAATAACTGAATGCTGTTGTTGTTGCTGTGTACCACTGAGTTGGAACCAACCCATAGCTGACCGCACAGTGGGTTTTCAGAGGCAATAAATCACATGGGAGAAGATTGCCCATCTTTCTTCAGAACTTTGAACTGCATATGAACTACAGATGATGAGTTGTAGATTTTAAAATTTACACTCCAGAATTTTTTTGGGTTTTTTGTTGTTTTTTTTTTTTTTTTTACTCCAGAATTTTTAAACACAGAATGTAAATCATGTTGTACACATGTCTAATCCACATGTCAGTGGAACAACCTTTATTTAGCCTCTTGGTTTTACTTGCATTTGGGATGAGACAAGACCTCTCTCCAGAAGCCTGGGCAATTTCCCAGGATCTCCTGCCCTTCCTCCATGTTCTTGAAGGCTCTACTTCTCCAGCCACTTTTCTTTTCAATGAGATGCCCCTCCTCCGTGGTGGGGGGATTTGTACCACTGATGTATTCTTCCAACAAGCTACAATTAAGACAAAATTATCAGCTGAGAAGCAAGATTCCCTTATAATTAATACCTTCCTGAAAAAGAGACCCTGTATTCACAGAGTCCTTCTGCATTTCCAATTTCTTTCAAAGTCATAGGGCCTCCATAGGAAAAGAGTCACCCATAGAGATACAACCATCAAGATACTGTCCCCAGAGATGCAATCACTTCTTCTGATGTGTAAATTTGAGAACTTTTCTTATCGATGGGAAAGAGAAAAGATTCTTCCAAACATAAATGAGATGACAGTAAATGTCTTTGGCACAGCCATATGTCTACTCACTGTGTTTACTAAATGCCAGGGGGGATCCTTCTGCTACCTTGGCTTTGAGGCACCAGCAACAGCACCTTCCCAAGTGGCATTTCCCGTGTTGAGCAGGGTGTTCTGTGTGTCCTCTCCACAGCTATCGACCTGCTCTACTGGAGGGACATCAAGCAGACGGGCATCGTGTTTGGGAGCTTCCTGCTGCTACTCTTCTCCCTGACCCAGTTCAGCGTTGTGAGCGTCGTGGCCTATCTGGCCCTGGCCGCGCTCTCAGCCACCATCAGTTTCCGCATCTACAAGTCTGTCTTACAAGCTGTGCAGAAAACCGACGAGGGCCACCCTTTCAAGTGAGTTTCCTAACCCTTCCCATCCGTCCCTCCCCCTGCCTGCTCCAGGTCACAACCATGCTTTCCATTGTGTGTCTTTAACATTGTGTTCGCCTGGCAGAATTGGGAAATGTGTTAATATCTTGTCTTTTGGGTGGTTTTTGTTTTGGTTTGGTTGGGGTTTTTTTTTTTAGAGAGGAACCTCATTTATCTTTATTCCAACACCAATTGCGTTACTGAGTCATAATGTGTTAATTACTGCTACAACTTATGAAAATTATGACCCTTTATTGGCATGAAATGCCTTATCATTTAAAGAGTGCTTTGGCAGTTAATAAATCCTATCAACTCTGCGTGGAAGGCCAGGTGGGCATTATAATAAGTGACCTATAAGAAGTGAAGTGATTTGCCTATGTTCACATGATCAGTGATGATCACGGAGCCAGGACTAGGGGGGTTAATTTTTATGCTCATGTTCTCCTTGTTCCTAAAGAGCCAACCCTCTGAGGGGTGAAAGGTTGAGGAACATTCTCACAGTGTGCTCTACTCTGCATTTTCCTAAATCTCTTTAGAAGATTTGTGAGGAGGAAGAAATATCTAAAAAAAGGCAATATACTAATTAAGTGAATATGTAAGATGTGATAGAGTATCAGCATTGCCAGCTGCATGCCACTCAACTCCACCCCCCATTTATCTCACTGCCAGCTTAGTGACTCTCAGCTCTTTGGGCACTTTTGTTCGTATCCCTGCCTTGCCTTGCACCAGCCCCCAGTGTGCAGATACTATACCAGTATCTTCACCTTCTCTAACCAAGGGCCCATCGTAAAGCTCAAACAACAGATGGAAATGATGCCACAGAATCTCTTCTGAGCCATCCTCAATCATTCACCCACAGTTCCTCTGAGTCCTCCCTCACTAACCGTCTCAAGCCTCACCAAACAGCTGGATCCAAGCCCCAACAAAACCAGACTGTTGGAAAGGGAAGAGACATGTGTGCACACAGACAGAAGAATTGTGCATCTGACTTTCTTCTCAGTCTTTGGTTCCAGGGCTCTGGGCAGAAGACAGTTATAGTCTAGGCGCCCTTGCCTTTGAGATATACTTGACCTCGGATTGCAGTATTAGTGCGCCTTATGGGCTGTGCAACTTCTATCCCAATCGTGGGATAAGCTGCAGAAGCAGAATGACATCTCAGCAGAGTGTGCACAGTGCCTGCTTCACTGGCCCTTGCTGGTACCAACCTGTCCCCTCACCTTTGCCCATAATCATTACATATTCTTGGTCCCCAAGGGTATGGTAAGTGGGAAAATTTCTCTCTCATTTGGCGTAGGCCTTCAAGTACCCAGGGAGAAGAGACTAACAATCAACAATTATCTCAATTAACTTATATATTCTGTAAGGAGACAGATTTGAAATTTGTCCCAGACTAAATAATTTTGATTGGTCAAGGGAATAAATGACCCACTCACTATACGTTTTGAACTAAAACAGACTTTAAAAAAAAAAAATTTCTAGACAAATTATTTTTATATTTCTTTTCTAAAGGAGAGGAAATAATTATTTAAGCATTAACTTTATAAAACTCTCACCAAACTCTGCTTTTCTCTTTTCATCTTAATTCTCAGAATTTGTTAAGTGTTCTAAGAACCATAGGCATGTCTTCAAGTTAAACACACAGTCCTCTTATCACAAAAGAGTGGGAAGGCATGAAAGACAGGAGGCAGGAAGTAGAGGGGTAGGATAGAGGGACCCCTGTATGTGAAGAGGGAATAGAAGATACTGAGCTGGATTTCTTTGTTTATATCTGAGGAGCCCTATTTATTCACTCCAAAATGAAGTGTAACTACTTGAATAAATTGAAAATGTACAGTTTGTTAATAGAATTAACAAGAATTTTAACATGGCTCAGATTGAGTTTTCTGAAAATAAATTCCAGAATTTAAGCTCTTTGAGTTCTCCTAAGCAACATGAATTGGCAGCTGTAAATTTCAGATAGCTCATCTGTTTAACAAGATTCATGTTATTGCAAGACAGATTGACATAGTAGCTGTAACAATGGGTTCTAGTATGTTAGGTATTGTGAAGATGTCACAGGAGAGGGCAAGGTTCCAGTCTGTTCATAATGTCACTGAGTTATAGTCAGCTCACCAGCACATAGCAACAGTGCATCTCTTTGCAACCAGGAAAAAGTGGGCTTTCTCAGCTTCCTGGTGGGCAAAGGTTGTATGGAAAATTCAGCAACTTGGTTAGTGTGGACTGGTTATTCTGCAGTTCCCACAAACTTCGTGGATTATCAGCCGACACAGTAGAGCTGCCTTTGGTACAAGAGAAGCAGTCACAATGCCCAGCTAAAAGCCAGGATCCTGTGTTCTCCAGGGTCCTGGTAGAGGGAACGTATGGAGCCCTGTGTCCCACATGACTGTCTAAGCCCCTGAGGCGGCCAGCTGTGAGAAGGAAAGCTTAGAGGTTTCATTGGTAGATGGTGCCAGCAGTCTGTTTTTGTGACCCACTCTGATGGATTCTCTGTGGGGATGGTTTGTTGACAGAGCCTACTTGGAGCTGGAGATCACCCTTTCTCAGGAGCAGATTCAGAAGTACACAGACTGCCTGCAGTTCTACGTGAACAACACGCTTAAAGAGCTGAGGAGGCTCTTTCTCGTCCAGGACCTGGTGGATTCCTTAAAAGTATGATTGTTTACAGCATTCACTTTTTACCTTTGACTTATTTTCCCTCAAGATATAATAGTATATGCACCACCTTGTCATGAAGAACAGAAAGTCAGTATGTTCTAGAGTTAAAAAGCCTCCAGCTGGATGGCACTTTAGAGATCAGTTCATTTAATCTCTTATCTTAACAGATGACAAAGATGTGTGACTCAGGAGGTTTTCAAGACATTTGCCCAAGGTTTCCCAATGACTTAGTGAAGGAGCTAGGATCAAGCCTGAGTCACACAGCCTCTAATTCTGTACTTTTGGCAACATGACACAGGCTGCCACTTTCCTTGGACAATTTTCTGAACCTAATTTTTAAAATAAAAATCTAGTTTGGAGATGTAAAAAAAAAAAACCTATGTATAATTTTTTGCTGAAAGAATTCCACTGAGGGGTGGGAGGGGACTCCAAACAGAAACACACCCTTCTCCATGTTCCTTATACAGTTTCCGCCACAGACTGAACATTTTGAAGGATCAAGGTCTATAGACCGCCAACACTCAGCCAGCGCCTGGACCACTAGGTTTTATTCCTAGTTCTTTCATGACTTTGGTGTATTTCTTTGGGCAGGATGTTTACAACACCCTGCACCTTATATGTCATGTGAGACTCAGTCAGTTATGATTTGACAAAGCCAGGGATAGGGCTGTGAGAAGCCCGAGCAAGGCTGTGAGTTTTCCAGGCTCCGCGAGCACTGTGTACACACCCTGGCAGGGGTCTTGTGCTTGGAGGCTGTCTGCTGACTGTTCACAGGCAGAGAGAAAAGTGAGTAATGTCGTCCTGGCCTTTAGAGCTTTACAACAATTGCTGTGTACCATCAAGTCGGAACCAACTCATAGCTGACCCTCCAGCAGGTTTTCAGAGGCAGTGAATTGTACGGAGGGAGATTGCCCATCTTCCTCCTGTGGAACAGCTGGTGAATTCGGACACGTTCCTTTGAATTGGCAGCTCAACTCCTTAACACCAAGCCATGACTTGCCAAGTAGTGCTGATGAGTGATACCAAGGAGAAAATGAAAGGCAGAGAGTTAACAAAAGAGAGGAAAACCCTTAATGAGACCATTTGATAGAGTGACTAGCGCAGTGGGTTTGAGCGTGCTGGAGATGATGAGGATGACGCCGGATAGGGTATGGTTCAGATGTGGGGTTCTAGGGTCACTCTGAGTTGTGTACTCGGATTACATTCAACAACAAGAACAATGGTCCACTAGCCATTTCTAAGATGAGCTGGTCTCCTGTCAACATGCACAGCTTCAGAAACTCGGTGAAGGTTCGCCATGAGTCAGGATCAACTGATGGCATCGAGTCCGAATGCTTCTAAAGTGATATTTATATTTGTATCTGTAATGTCAAAATTGTAGACTAGATTCAGGGTCAACAGAACTATTTTATGAAAGGTCAGATGGTAATTATTTTAGCCTTTTGGGGACAAAGGTGCTGTCACAACTACTCCACTTTGCCATTATAGCATAAAGGCAATCAAAGACAGTGAGTAAATGAAAGGCCGTGATTGTGTTCTAAGTAGGTGCTGAAAATGGAATTTTTTATTTTATAACAAAAATATCTTTGCATTTTAAAATTTACTTTTAACTGATTTGTCTATGCAAAAAACAAAGGCCTTAGTTTTCTGCCTCCTAAACTGGGCCATTTCATTCATATCATCAAATCTGCTCAGAGGGAGGCACTGGTTTCCAGAAGTGAGGAATGGCACCTCTTTCAGTGATTCTTTGATGTGCTTGAGACACCTTACTGCTCTAGTGTTCTCATTGAAATGATGATGTATTTTACCGTGAATTCTATCTAAAATTACTCAATAGAATGGTACAGTTGTATCTGGCTAAGTCTTAGGAGTTCTGATAATGCTTTCATTCTTCAGTTTGCAGTGCTGATGTGGCTCCTGACTTATGTGGGTGCGCTCTTCAACGGCCTGACCCTGCTGCTCATGGGTAAGCATGGCCAAGAGCCCAGTGTGCCTTGTTTCAAATGTGCAGTGAATATAATGCTTTCTAAGGCTGTTCACTTCCACACTGTTTGGTAGGTTCCTAGACATGATGACACAGACATCCCCAAGTACATAGACTATTTCCCTTATCACCATACATCTATCAAAGTGTACTGTAATAATAATAAATTTATTATTCTGACAATTTCCTTTTTTCCTTCAATCAACACTGGTTTTCTTTGGCTTATAATATATACTTACAAAAGCAGCTGTATTTTTAAAAACTCAACTCATTGCTGTCAAGTGGAACCGACCTATAGCTGATGCTACAGCAGCTTTTCAGAGGCTGTAAATGACACAGGAGAAGTTTATTCGTCGTTCTGCAGAGCAACTGGTAGATTCTAACTGCTTGTGTTAAAGTTGGCAGCACAGCTGCTTACCCACTTAGCCACCAAAGCTCCTTAGAAAGAGATCAAGTTTACTCTTAAATGGCACATTGTTATAGCAGTAATGACATAATAGCTATAAAGGACATCTTTTCATTTTTCTTGGAAACTGCCCCATTCCTGTTATATTTTCACTGAAATGCTAGTTATTATAACTAATGCTATAATATTGTTAGAGCATTTATTATTGGAGAAACAACAATAGCTATAGGAAGGCATTAGGTCTTTTGTTCATAGAGTCACTATGAGTTGTGCTCGACTCCACAACAGTGAAAACAACATATAAACACAGAACTGAATTAATGAATAAATGAAAATCTAACTTCTCTATAAATGATCATTAAAATCACAATTAAAATAAAATATTTTCATCACTTTTTTTTTTTAATGTGTGTACTGTCAAATCAGCTCTGATTGGTACAGGAGGAGATTGTCCCTCCTTCTTCAGCAGAACATCAGGTGGATTCGAACCTCACACTTCCAGGATTGCAGTGCAGTTTCTTGCCACTAGGCCCCCAGAGCTTGCTTAAAATAAAATTTTATTAAAGGGGAAAAAATAGAGCTCTACTCTGGTGGCCTAGTGGACAAGGAGTCCTAACCCAGAGGCTACCAGTTGGAATACACCAGCTACTTACTTCATGGGAAATCTTCTCCAATGTAATTTATAGTCTCTGAAAACCCATTGGAGGATAAGGTAGAACAGTGAGTTTGTTTGAATTGATGAAAAAATAGAAAATATAAAAATATGTGCATAAACTTATCCTACTGACTTTTCCTAGGATTTTAATACTGTATTTGTTTTTCATCCCAGCTGTGGTTTCAATGTTTACTCTACCTGTAGTGTATGTTAAACACCAGGTAAGTTCTATATAAGGTCAAAGATTCGTGTTAAATTTTGGCTTCATGAACTTTGGATGTGCTCATGATTTATTTCTCTTCACAGGCACAGATTGACCAGTATCTGGGACTTGTGAGGACTCACATAAATGCGATTGTGGCAAAGTAAGTTACATACGCAGTAGGGACTATGTGAGGCAGGAGCTTGGTAGGGATAATAAAGGAGTAGCAAAGTAATTTGATTTAGGATTGTTTATTCACTTATTCAAGTATTATTTCAGAAAATAACTCTTAAAACTCAATTAAGCAAACTCTTCAGTGGGTTATTTCAGGTGTTATAAAGAATGAGTTTGATACAGACTTAATGGTCTGTCTGGAAACAGGCCCATGTCCAAGCAAGAACAAGAATGACTTAGAATAAAGGAAGCATGACTTGGGAAAATGAAATTAATTTATAACAAATTAACTTCATTAACTATCTATTTTTAAGCAACAAATATTACTGAATTTTTTAAATCATTAATATTATCTTCTAAGAACAGTAAATGTAATTAGGTCATTTCACATCACCTCAACAAGTGTTTATGCTTGTTTAGTTGTTTTTTTAAGAGACCCTAATTTATGGGCTTGCTATGAGTCAGAATCAACTCAACAGGAGCTTTATGAGCTACCTTCCATATTAAAAGATTAAGATTCCAGTTGCAAATATCCAGGGCTAACCTACTCATTAAACGTTGTCATTTTCTATAGCTCTTACTAGTGGGCTTTTTTGTTGTTGTTTATTTTTTAACATTTTTATCTTATATTGGATGCTTATTAGTGGTCTTAACTGTGTTTTCCTACATAATTTTTTGTTATTACCATGTTGTAGTTGTGTGTCATCAAATAGGAACCCTCGGGCGAGTTTTCAGAGGTGGTTAATCACATGGGAGGAGATTACCCATCCAAAAGGGTGCTAGCCTTCATCAGCGTAAACACACATGTAGCTAGACTTTGGTGATGGTTAGATTTAAAAGGAATTATTTCAAACAGACAATGATGAATAATAGCAAACAAGAAAAGCAATTTGTACCTGATGAATTAATGTTCAAAAATTACTCAATACTATCTTTTAAAATGAGCTATAAATAATATAATAACTAATTAATTGATAATAAAATAAATTACAAAAATAAGCTAAAAAAATACAAAACGGCCCAAACAGGAAATTGAAAAGTTTAAAAAAAATTGTGTGAAGTGTGCTTTCTATATACTTTCTTCCAAATATATTAGAAAATATTGGGATAATTTTTGCTTTATTTTTTAATTTTTGCTTGATTGGTCAATTGCTCACCAAATATGAGTGTCTGATATGTGTACCCCAAGTATTGAATATAACAGGCAGAAAAGGTTCAAGGCATTGAGGGTCTCAGACCTCAAAGAGTTCTCTTCCTGTTGGTGTATACACAATTATAAAAACAAGAAAAGATATTAAGACAGTATAAGAGCTTCAATAGTGTTGTGTTAAAATGTTAAGGAGGGAATGATTAAAAGGCTATAAAATGAGGTGACATTCAGCCTGGGTCCTGAAATACAGGTGAACATTCACCTAATGAATAATAAGGGGGCAAACCTTTTCAAGAAGAACTCAGCAAAGGCAGAGACTCATGCAAATTGTTAAGTCATGTTGGGGAAGCAGTGAATCGGGGTGTGATGCTGACCTGAGTGGAAAAGTTGGCTAGAACAAGTCTAGAAAGCCAAGCTGAAGCCAGGTGGGGAATGCTAAAAGGACATTGACTCTTATGAAATAGAAATGGCCAGTACCTGTCGATTTTAAGCAAAGGAATTAAGTCTTCAGCTTATTTATTTGCTTATTTTTTTAATAAATAAACCATGACAGTCTAGTGGGAGAAGTTGAGCTATGGATGGTATCCAGGATACTATCATAAGTCAAACAAAAATGAGAAGGGTATAACTCCAAACTCACTGCAGTCAGAGGCTGTTAACAGCAGAGAGATTGGTCTTCTTTCTCCTGCAGAGCAGCCGCTAGATTTGAACCACCAGAGACACCACCTTTGGTTTAGCAGTGCAGCTCCCTGGGGACTATGCAACCAGAGTGTCTTGAAAGGGGAAATGGACCAGTTAAAATTGGGGGGGGAGGGGAAGCCAGATAATATACCTTTCATGAATTGTAGTTGTTAACATAGAAAATCAAAATTGTAAAAAGATATAAAGGGAATGTGTTAAGCATGACTATTAATATTGCTTCTGTAAGTGAGCTTCTAATTTGATTCTGAACTTCTTGGTAGCTAAGGCACCTGGATTTCTGTAGGATTTCTTCCATCTTTTATGACACCTACTGTTATTTCTCCATTTCTTTACCAAATAGTAGCGATAATGACCCAAATAAAATAGGCACCAGTTCCTACCATCTCCCTGCCTAAAATCCATCAATGGCATCTTATCACACTGAATAGAATCTCAGCTCCTCATCATGGCCCACAAGTTCTAACGCCAGCTTTATTGCCTGCCTCTTAGTTCTCTCCTTTCCACACTTCACAACTCCCCTCACCCTCAAGAGTATCTTCATATTACTACCTTTGCCCTTTTTACACCCTCTGCCTAGAACACTTCATGCCACAGTCTTTGCCAGGTGACCCTTTCCTGCTCCTCAAGCATTCATAGCATTATCAGTGAATATAAAGACAGCACCCCTTACCATGTCATTGCTGCTGACTCATGGCTCCTCTCTCTCTCATTGCTCCCTCATTGCCGTCCCATCGATTCTGACTCCTAGCTGCTCCTCCACTGGGTTTCCCAGGCATTAAATCACGTGAGAAGAGAGTGCCCATCTTTCTCCTGTGGAGGCACTGGTCAATTCAGAGTGCCAGAGAAGTACTGCCCTTGGGTTACCAGCATGACTCTGTGCAGACTGGACCACCAGAGCTCTTAGTCACTGCCTAAAACAACACATGGTTTGCTTTGGTTTCAGAGCATTTATCACCATCTAAATTTCTATTATTTCTCAAATTATTTACCTTGGCTACTCAGCCCCTACAAGACAGGAAGCCCATGAGAACAGATAACTTTATCCCTTTTGTTGACCAATTGATTCTAACACCTGAAAGGGAAACCTGGCAGAGAACACAGTAGTATCTTGACATGATAACTTCTCATGATGAGCATATAAAATGGGATTAACAGAAACAAATCCATCTAGTATGAACCTGCCCTAAAATAACGGTGTCATACTATTAGAATCACAGAGTTAGAGACCTTGCCAATATCAAGTTTTAACAACTGAAAGCATTTAAATGAGGGTTCTAAGAAAAACCCAGGGACTAGCCTAGCATCACACAGTTAATTAGTAGCAGAGCTGGGAATAGGACCTGGGTTTCTTGATTCCAGATTTAGGTAGCTTTCCTCTGCCAAGGATAACTGTATATTCCTGTTTGTTGGAACCCTCTCTGTTTATGCCCATTGTCCTGATATCATTAGGAATAGTATCCTCTTTGGTTGACCAAACATAGATTCTGTAATCCTGAAATAAGTCAATGCTCATCTGACTGATAAAAGGCATAATCTAAAGAATGGGGATTTGAATCCACCACTATTATTATTCTTTATTACACTTTATTCTTACTGCTATAAAGAAAAGTATGTGCAGACCCTTAGACATAAAAACCATAATAGTTATTTGGTTCTTAGCTTGTTAAAGCAGCAGTAAATAAGGAGACATAAAATGCTATCATTAATTACCATCTTTTGATAACTTGTCTTTTTCAGGATTCAGGCTAAAATCCCAGGTGCTAAAAGGCACGCTGAGTAAAGGGATGTCCCACCGGGGCCTGGACACAAAGAGGAATGTCTGGAGTGGTAACGGCTCTGTTCTTACACGTTACTGCAAATTGATTGTTTATCCCCTCTCCCCCACCTCGTACCATAATCTTAGAGACAAATTTTTAAACAGCTGTTTTTAGGCTGTTTCTGTACTCTTAGGATATTTGAGTCATTTGTGTCAAGCACTACAGTATAGAGAAAAGTGTATTAGATGTGGTTTTTATTTCGTGTTGCTTTAAAAAAAATGCATGATGGTGAGAGCCCAAGTAATCTTCCTCCTTCAGTGTTCGCCTCCTTCCTCCTGCAATGCTTCTGTAGCTTCTAACGTTCCCTGTGGCTAGGCCTTTCCTGAGTGCATTGATGCAATAGTGGAAATTGCTTCTATGTCCCTGGGTTGCTGGTTGGATTAATCTTTAATAACTATACATATATATAAATATATAGACTTGTAGACCGGTGTCTTAGTGTTTTTCCAACACACACAAGCCTAAAAGTCGACCGTTCTCATGGTAAATCCATTTTGTATAACTTAAATAAATAAATAAAATAACCCCAAACAAACACGCAGTACTTTTGTTGTATGGGATTGACAGGCTGATTTACATGTATGGTAACCAGAAGAGTACCAGCATGTTACCTTTATTACTATTTGTATTACTTTCTCTGTAGTTCCTAATGGACTTAAATCATGGACTCTGGATATTTGCACTTATGTACTTGATACTGAATGCATAAATAAATGTTACTAAATGTACAAAGTTCTCCCTCCCTTCTCATGGTCTCAAGAAGAAATGGCAAAAGTCTAAGAGGATGATGACCTCCCAGGAAGGCTGAGGTCAGATGCTCAGGACCACCTGGTCCAGCCCATGCTGGTGCATGACTTCTCTGAGGTGTTACTAATGGAAGTTACTGAAGAATGGTAAAACTGGAAAAGAAACACTCTGTCTAGTGTAACTCTGTGAGGTTAATGTAGATATTTTACATGCTGAAAAAGAAAACTTGAAAATTATAAAAGTCCTTACATAAACATTTTCTACTTTGCAACACAACTCTGGCACACAACAATTACAATTACTGGGAACTTGGTTAGCATTCATACTGAGCACCTGCTCGGTGCAGAGCACTGAGAGTAGGTCTGTGAATAAGAGCAATGTCAGATCCACCTGCTTTTGTAAAAAGTCTACTTTTGCATTTTTCATGTCACTTTTAGAGACAAAAGTTAAAGATGAAGAGATATGACTCAGAGAAGTAACAGAGATAGAAATAAAAATGGTTGGAGAAAACAAAAACTAATTACAAAAAGCTTGGACAAGTTTGATACTTGGAAGTTTGAACTTTCACACAAAGTGATATGAAAGATACAAGGGCAACTTAGCACTGTGCCAACAGCCAAGCAGCTTCGCATTTTGTGTTTTGAGGAGGGTTAACAAAGTTGTTGTGTGCCACTGAGTTGATTCCAACTCCTAATGATCCTATGGGACTAGTAGAGCCCTTTGTGTTGTGGGGTGCCATCAGGTCAACTACGACTCATAGCAACAAAAGATCTGCACATTGCCCTCTCCTGCATCGTCCTCACCATCTCTGATACACTTGGGCCTATCGTTACAGTCACTGGGTCAGTCCATCTTGTTGAGGGTCTTCCTTTCTTTCTCTGACCCTCCAGCTTTCCTAGTATGATGTCTTTTTCCAAGGATGGTTCCGTCTAATAACATGCACAAAATATGTTGAGACAGAGTGTTGTGGTGGTGATTAGTGTCATCATTGAGTTGGAACCAACTCATAGCTGACCCTCCCTTGGGTTTCCAAGGTTATGAACTGCGTGGAAGAAGAGTACTCATCTTTCCCTCATGGAGCTGCTGGTGGATTCACACCACCAGAGAGGTATGGCATTTGGGTTAGCAGGACAGCTCCCTACAGACTCTGTCACCCAAGCTCTTGAACTAAAGAAAAAGCAGAATTAACTACTCAACAAGACGAGAGCGACAGAGAAGGTATCCTCAGAGTGACCTTTGGGCTGGGTCTTGATTTGGCTTTTGCCACATGAAGAAAATGTTCCCCAGACTAAAGAAAGGACATGAACTATGATGCTAAATCAAGAGAGTGCATGTCATCAGCAGATGATGGTAATAAGGTAAATTGAGTTATAAGGAACTTATAGCTAAGTAAAAGTAAGTTGAAAGCACATAGGATCATGCAAGGAAGAAACATGAATGTCAGGGCCAAGAAGGCTTGACTCTAGTTTTGGGTCAGGAGTCATATAAACACATTGACAGTACAATACAGGAGATTAGAAGAAAAGAGGATATAATTGTAGCAGAATTCTATGGTAATGAATAAATCTGTCGCTAACAAGAACTAAATTACTATAGGCTGCAATGAAACTAGAAAAGAGATATCTCCCTTGTCAACAATAGTCTATCTTTCCAAACATCCACCATACACAGGGAGGTAACTAGGAGAGTTGTGGAGGGAGATTTGACTGGAATTAGTGTTTTCCTGCATGTGGGGATTGAAGACCAGGGTTAACCCCAAGACTGAGTTGTTGTTGTTGTATACCACCAAGTTGGAACCAACCCAAGGCTGACCCTCCAGTGGGTTTTCAAAGGCCCTTCTTTCTCCCATGGAACACTTGGTGGATTTGAACCATTATCGCATTTGACACATCAGTGTCACTGTGCTTATCATCACAGCAACCACGAGTTCCCTCTGTACAGCAATGCACAGACCAGTGCTATACCACTTAGAAGAATGTTCGAAAAAACAACTTAAACCAGGCCTGAGGGCTGCAGATTAAAGTCACCCACCTTGGTCTTGGTAGCATAACTTTCAGTCTACTAGGCCAACAGAACTCTCTCTATGTTGTCGTGTTAAATGCAGTTGAGTCATAAATGACTCATAGCATTACCCATGGTGGACAGTGTTTGGTGTTTCCCAATTAAAACAAGCTTGGAAGCGGGAGTGGTATCCACTTCCAAAATGGCTTGCCTCCGGAAACTCTATGAACGTAGAGAAATGACCAAAGTTATACAAGTGTTCAGGTCTTTAGTTCATAGAGTCGGTATGAGTCGTCTACGACTCGATGGCACTTAACAACAAGAGACTTTGCATTGGCAGCACTGTTGCTCAAGTTTTACACCTCAACTGTCTCATTTACATCTGTTTAAGGCTAACTGATTAGAGTTGGTAATACTGTTTTCCAGGATTGTCATGGTGTTATGTTATATCAAATTGGAGCTGGTTCATAGCTGACCCTTCAGTGGGTTTTCAGAGGCTGTAAATCACACAGGAGGAAATTGCTCCTCTTTCTCTCTTAGAACAGCTGGTGGATTCGAACTGCCTGTTTTAAATTGACAGCACAACCGCTTACTCCCTAGGCAACCAGAGCTCTCTGTTTTCCTGGATAGAGAACAGGAAGATGAAGACCAAAGTGAGAGTCCAAGGAACTCAGAATGAGGATTGTTATGCTGGAAACCATGGACAGAGGATTACACCTGCTACCTATGCTTGAATTAAACTAGCCGGTGCAGGTAGGATGAAGGAGGAATGGTGTGTTATCAGAATATCTGGAACAGAGGAGGTGGGATAGTTCATATATCCTCTGCTTTTTCCCCCAACCTGAGGCCAGGCTCACCTTTGTTTTCTAGTGTTTTCACTTCTTAGAGGTTGAAGGATTGGTTCCTACCTTAGAGAATGTAGCCCATTGCTTAACCTTGCTTTGCTATGATGGGGATCCATCCACCTGTCCATTACTTGGGCTTCCTAGGGACTAAGGTGAACCTGATCCAGGCCATGGTCTTCACAAGTACTATGCATCAGAGAATTGGAAAATGGCTAAGAATGACAGAAGAATAGATACCTTTGAGTTGTGGTGCTGGAGAAGAGTCTTGAACATACCATGGACTGCCAAGAAATCAAATAGGTCTATCTTGGGGAGGGTAAAACCATGTTTCTCCTTGGAGGGTAGGATTTTTTTTCCCATTACACACTATGTGTCCCAAGACATTTATTGCCAGTCATATCACTTCTTTTAAGATTTGTAATACTAATCTTTCTTCAAATAGAAAATTTATGTATTACCATTTAAGTATAAAAAATTATGTTATATAGTTCATCACATTCACATGATCCAATAGAGATTGAAAAGAGCATTCACGGATATTTTAAATTAGCAGAACATTTAATGGTCAGTCATGTTTTACTTTCAATAATATTAATGATACCTTTGCATCATATGTTCATGTGCATTAAATGAATAAGCACATCCATGGTGAACACCAATACATGCAAAATCTTCTATCCTCAACATACATATCCACTCTTGGGGTAGTTATGGTCCAGCTCTTAATTGGCAGGATGTAGGCAAACATCATTTAAAATTTGCCACCAAGATAATAGAAAGTTAGCAGTAAGTATGCAATCTATTACCTAAATGTAAAAGAATGAAATCTCTTTTAAAGAACTAAAATAGTATAACCATTATAAAGCATAATATCCAGACAAACAAAATATAACAACACTACTGTTCTTTTTTCTGATCAAATAAGTTGAGGGGCATGTGGAGGGTAGGATTTAGGATTTTGAAGCTCCATTTCACATACTTTGGGCACACAGCCAGGAGGGACCGGTCCTTGGAAAAGGACATCATGCTCGGAAGGGTGAAGGGACAGCGCAGGAGAGGAAGACCTCGGATGAGATGGATTGATAAGTAACTGGAGCAATGTGAGTAGGTGTGTCAGAGTCAGTGAGACTGGTTCAAGACAGGGCAGGCTTCAGAGCTGCTGTACGTAGGGTCACTGTGAGTCACAGGCGACTCAAAGACACATAACAACAACAGCTTTAAAGCTCTTTTCTGTAGTCACTATCAAGTCTATTCCACATACTGACTTGATCAGTTTGACAGCTAACTGTTCATTAGATGTCTGATCTACCCAGAGTGGTCCTCAGTACTCTCAAGTTGTTGTGTGGAGATTGAAAAGAGACTCAATCATG